GCACCAGTGCAGTCAACTGCCACAGCTACCCGGGGTTCACCTAACATCTCTGGAGGTTGCAAACATCTAAATTAGTCTGAGTGAGGCACAAAATGCTCTGCCGCTGAAGAATGTGTGGGATGTTGGCTGAAACAGATCAATACTCTCCAGTCCTCCCACGAGCCTGCCCTTTTGTCTTCACCATAGCCTTCTGCCTCCAGTGAGACACTGGCTACTTATTTAAGCGTAATATAGTTTTGTTGATTTGTACTCTGTGCCTTCACTAACTAACTGAACTAGATTAGCTCTAATCTTGCATTGACGGAAGACCAAAAAGTTTTCAGCTTGATTATTTTGTTTCAGATTATTTCAGGTTTATATTGTCTTATATTAGATGATGAAAAAGAATTGAGGCAGGAAAAAGGAGTCGATGAAATGTGCTAGTCCCTGCATACAGGTGTGCAGAGCAACCTCATCTTTAGCAGTTTATTATACATTTCTGTTCAGCGTTTGATGTCCTGTCTCTGACTTCATGCAAACTGGAGTTTAGATGACACTTTGGATAACTTAATAACATGTATGGCTGTGCTGCTGCTGGTCTCTGACTCCCAGTATTAGTCACACACAACATTCATGCTGTACACCCCAGAGCAGATGAATTATATCAAATTGTATCAAATATTAATTCATGTTTGTATTCCTGAGGCAGGTGGAACAGGTATCACGTGGAGGTGGATTCAGTGCCTCCCTGTAACATTGGTCTGTGGAGGCATCACATCACGTTCTTTTTCTTGTAAACTTAATTTTTCACCCTTTCTTCTTATTTAGTTCATTCTTGTCATCGTGTTTGTTTCATTGTAAAAATGTGAGCGTGTCCAGAAGCCCCCACGCGGGTCGTGTCTGTCGGGATGAATTAGAGAACACAAAGGAAAAGATAAAAGATGGGAAAATAATATATGGATGGAATTCTGCATGATAATAAAAATATCCCTTAGTGAAGAAAAGAAGTCAGGCTTTGTGCAAAGTACAGATAAGGACACAGCAGCAACACGGTTACGTCCAAGCAGACGGTCTCTTACAGCGGAGAAGGTGTCAGCTTCTAAAACTGCAGGGCGAGAGACATTTCCAGTTCAGTAATATTACTTTTGTCGTCACCATAACTGCTTCTGGCCTGATTGGATTGATGAGTCATTATCCTATCAGGGAATGACCGAACATTCCCAAATTACAACCTGAGTTCTGTATTGTTCAGAAAGCTGAAAGTGTGATGGTGCTCCTTCAATAACGCCACATCTATCACACATCAAAGCAAGAAAAGAACTGTACAGCACACGTTTCTATCAGTACCTCTCTCTGTTTAAAGGGTTTTTTCCCACTGCTTTTTATTCCTGGGGTTTATGGGTGGTGTTCTG